ATTCGAAGGTGGGCATGTGTTCGAAGACAAAAAATCCACCATGACTAAGGCCTCCGGGTTGGGTGGTCGCATGTATCGACCACTCTTTTGAGGGTGGGCATGTGTTCGAAGACATAAAATTCACCATTCCTAAGGCCTCCGGGCTGGGTGGTCGCGTGTATCGACCACTCCTTCGAGGGGGGGCATGTGTTCGAAGACAAAAAATTCACCATGACTAAGGCCTCCGGGCTGGGTGGTCGCGTGTATCGACCACTCCTTCGAGGGTGGGCATGTGTTCGAAGACAAAAAAATCCACCATGACTAAGGCCTCCGGGCTGGGTGGTCGATTCTAATGTTGGGTCGTTGAAGATATGGAGCTTATTGGAGACCTCAGAAGCAGGTCAAGGATCTTTACATGGTTTTGATTTTGTAAAATTCATTTTTCGACTTCAAGGGAAGGTAAATTGGATTCATTACGAATATAGCTCGAGCAGACCTCGGTGGCAGGTCGACGATCTTTATTTGATTCAGGTTTTGTTGGATTTGGTTTCTCTGACCTCAGTGACAGGTCGATAGTATTCATGATGGCTCGAGCAGGTTGATGATTCCTTATTTCATTCTGATTTTGTCGAATTTATTTTTAGACCTCAGTGGCAGGTCGAGATGGTACTCGTTATTGTTCGAGCAGGTTTATGGATTTATTGGATTTGGTTTGCGGTATTTGTGCTTTTAATCCCAGTGGCGAGAGTTTATTGCGGATAGTTTGAGCGGATGGAGGGTTTTATGTGGTTTGGTTATGATATATTTGTGATTTTAATCTCAGTGGTAGGACGATCAAATACGTTATCGTGTATGTTGAGTAGTGGAAGGTCAATCAAACTCGTTATGGATAGTTCGAGCAGTTTGGCAGATAAGGGAGGCTCATTTCGAGCAAACTCAGGGATTCATTACAGATAGATCGAGCAGACCTCAGTGGTAGGTCGATGGTATTCATTACTGCACGAGCAGGTTGATTGCATTTTATCTTGGTTTTGTCGAATTGATTTTTCGACTTCAAGGGTAGGGAGATGTGATTCATTACGACACGAGCAGATTGATGGTTTTTGCTTGGTTTGGTCTTGTCGAATTGATTTTTCGACATCGGTGGCAGGTCGAGGGAGTTCATTCAGAGCAGTTCACGAAGTCAGGTCGTTTGGGTTTTGAGAGGACATACATTAGGCTTAAATTTTAAAGTTTGAACTGGGGGGCAATAGGATGAGGTAACCGTAAAGGCCCATCATTGAGAGGAGAGTGCTCGAACAAGGTGACTGAAAATGTAGAAGATTTAAGTTCAAATTTTCAAATTCAAGGCTTT